ATTTACTCCAGGTGGAACTAAAGTCTGATTTAAGTGTTAATCATTTACCAGCTGCAACATTGGAGTATTGCAAACATCAACATTTATAATACAATAATATAAATTATCCTGCATAGTCTGTAGATTTACTTTTGGTGCTTTAAGTATATTTAGATGCTGAATGTTTTCTACAATCTAAGTATTTTCTACACTGTAGTATTGTCACTTGCTGACACTAGACTGTGATGTCCTCTTGTTTCTGACAGGTGATTGGACGAGCGACGACTTATAAGAGGCTCCTGTTAACCATAAAGTCGGAGTACGACAATGTGGTCCGGGCTCTGCAGAAAAGGGAGGATGAGTTCAGGGCGGCTAAACAGAGGATGGCAGCCTCAATGTCAGATCCAATATCACTGATGACATGCCAGAGACGAGCCGCCCACCTGAGGGAGAGGTGGGTGCTGCGTTTGGTCCACTTCTTACTCTTCTAAAGGCCAGTGAGGGTTCAATCTTTAGATAACAGCTCTGAAAAGTTTCTAACTACAAGTGATGATAAATTGTTTTAGTTATTTGAACTGAGTGGTTTCCAACGGTGGATGATCAACTTTAGAAACACCTTAAATGAAGCAAATATCATGCTTAAAGGTGGGGTAGGTAATTCACTTCAGGAACACTTTTTGTTATATTCCATGGAATGCTCTTAACATCCCGATAGCAATGAATACATTAAATGCTTTGACAATAAGTACATAAAAAAATGTCATCTGTGGAAGCCGTGGAGCTGTAAAAAGCACGACCAATCATCTGAGCCGGCCCGGCTAAAATCACTGGATGGCCTACCTGCCTGTCAGCCTTCCATCTGTGCACAAACGTATCTCGTGCCCTCATTGGTCATGTGCGCGTTCGTGTGTGTTGGAGGAGGGGCTCTGTAAGGAAGTCTGAAGGAAGGGGCAGATTCTTTTCGGCTGTGTACTTTCAAATTCCAGCGCACTCGAGCTGGTTTCTCCTTTTTTACCTACCCTATCTTTAACTATTTAAAACAATCCCTGATATAATGGCAATGTTTTACAATGAAATGTGCATGAAGGATTGTCATGTAGCTGCTGCTCTCTGAATGCTTTTGGCTCTTTCCAGAATCTATGTCATTCAGAGGGAAACAGCAGAACTTCAAGATGAGATGGAGAGACACAAATCCTCTGAAGAGCAGAGCACATGGATACCTGGTACTACTGAAACTGATGATTGCAGTTGAAAATGAAGACTGCTAAATGTAAACGTAGTCTCAGTCTGTTGCAGGAGATGTTGTAGGCCCATTAGCGTGAGTTGATACAATAAACCCCACATATGTCTCATGTCCCAGGTTTGACGTTGGCTGACTCCGAGGATCCTGAGGCTCTGGATGGTCACCTGGAGCATCTGGAAGCCCAGAGAGCTTCTCTCCTGGAGAGGAAGAGTGACGGTGTCTCTCTGGAGGTCAAAGCCCAGCTGGACGCTGAGCTGCAGGCTGCAGAGCTCCACAGAGACCAGCTGAGCAGCGAAAACTACCTACTGAAGACCAGGTAAAGAACTGTCAACGGGTCCGTATGGATCTTCTTAAGATTACATTTGCCACATTTACTGTAACACATTCATTTTTTGTCTGTTTGTGTCACTTTGTGTCTCTCTGTACTTATTTGTCTCTTTGTAGCTGTTCTGTCTTTCTTTGTGTTCATTTTATGTCTGTTTTTAGTCATTTTGTGTCTGTCCGTAGTTATTTGCAGCATGGACTTAAAGCACGAGAATACATTATTTTGCTTAATATAAATCAACATACACAGCCGTCACACATTCACTCTACCCAACGGAGGCTTGTGTCGTTGATTTTCTCCAAATGAGTGACCATGTTTCTGTACTTTCTGTCTGTGTGCAGGTACAAGAGTCTGAGGTTGGTGTCCGACCGTCTGTCCAGCTGGGAGTTTGAGAAGCAGCAGGTTTCTCTGGAGGAACTTCTGGATTCCACTCTGGAAGATGCCAGACAGACCAGCGGTGAGACACAAAAACACTTGTTTAGAGGATTTTAAAACCATTAGCATCTCATATTTTATCTCAATATGGTCTCTTTGCTTCTTCAGGCAACAACTCATAATGTTTCAGTGTTATTTTATCACTTATTAAATCACATTTCCGTCTGTTTTTACTGCTCCAAAAAGGTATTTCTGCAACAATTAACCTTGTTTCTCAAACCCTGCATTGATATTTCAGAATGCTATAATCTTGTGTCCCTTCTTGGCCATCACTCAAAATAAAAATGTCTCACATTATTTATAACTTTAACACATTAAACCTGCAGTGACGGACGATGACGGCTGCGGCATGAACGCTGAACTGTTTGAGCACGAAGAGCCGACCGGTGTTGACGAGTCCCTTCTCCTGGCAGATCGCCTGGACAGGTGCTGCCTTCACAGACCGATCCTGACCAGTTTATCTGAACTCCTCAGACTCTCTCTCTGAATCACCTTTCTCTCTCCGACAGGTTTCTTGAGCTCTTTGATTCGGCTCGGTATGAGGAAGCGGCTCTCCTTGCTGCCAGATCTCCCCGAGGAGTCCTGAGGAACCTGGACACCATGGAGATGTTTAAAGGTGGGAACCACACACAGATATGTACAGTAAGAGATAAGGTACATATCTGCAGATTTCTATTACAGGGGTCCTCCCCAATAAAGAGGCAAAGTCCCTCCCTTTCAGGGGAGCTCCACGGGACCTTATTTCGGAAAAAGTATGTATTGAAGTCAATGGAGAGAGAAAGATTATCTTTCAATCCCGTTTGAATTGTGCCACGAATTACACATATGATGTTTGTCAATTTAAAAGATAATTTTGCAAGTCAAAAAAATAATAATGTGTCGTAAAAATGTGAAGTAACACTTTTTTTTGTGTGAAACCGCTCAATGAACTACATCTCCCGTCTCGCACCACACACCAAGACGGCCGTCACGTTGGCACATTTCACTTCTTTCTTTCAGAATGAGGCGAAAAGTATTAAAAGAGGTGAAAATCACTCCAAGTCTGGGCATGTTAAGAGCTGTACACACACACAAGGGGAGTTAGTCGGTTCCTAAGAGCCAGCATGCGGGACCGGGATTCTGGGATTTGTAGTCTTTCTAGTTGCGTATTTTTCGTAGTCTTATATTTCAACAGTTTTACGAAAAACTGTGACTTTTTTGACATGGAAATTATTTTTTAAGATTGACAAACATCATATGTGTAATTCATGGCGCAATTCAAACGGGATCGAAAGATAATCTTCTCTCTCCATTGACTTCAATACATAATTTTTCCGAAATAAGGTCCCATGGGGCGGAAGTAGATGGGCGGGACTTCGCCTCTCTATATCAGTGTGTTTTAATAT